GGCGAGTACGATGGTGTACAGTACGAGTCCGTCCGAGTAGCAGGAGACAGTGAATCACAAACACGAAACGAAAGAAATTCAAACAGAGAGCCAGAATTCAACAGCTGAAGTCCTTAATGAAGTGGCAGTAGAAAACGCAGAAGCCAACTTGGCAGGATCCATACAAACGTGTCCCTCCTCAATAATCATACCCAGGTATTTGATCTTTATCTGCTCAAACTTGCATTTCTCAGGTTTGAAATAGAGCTTATTTTCCTGTAATATGCGCAGGACTTCTTGTGTTACACGACAATGCTCTTTAAGTGTCTTGGTGAAGATGAGAATGTTGTCAAGATGGACAACAACGACACCTTCATGGATGAGATCATGGAAGAGCTTGTTGATTGTGGCTTGGAATATGGCAGGTGAGTTGGTGAAGCCGAAGAACGTGACGGTTGGCTTGAAGAGGCCCATGTTGGTGCAGAATGCGGCCTTCTATTCATTGCCCTCCTTGATGCATACATTGTTGTAGCCCCAGCAAATGTCCAGCTTGGTGAAGTATTGAGCACCTTTAAGCTTGTCAAGAAGCTCCTGGATGAGCAACAAGTAGTGATTCTTCACAGTCATCTTGTTGAGCTTGTGGTAGTTCTGGACGGGGCATAGCGAGCTATCCTTCTTTTTGATGAAGAAGAAGGGAGAGGCCATAGGTAACTTGGCCAGGTGAATGCAGCCAGACTTGAGGTTCTCCTCGATGAACTTGCTCAGTTCGTCTTGGTCAGCGAGTGTGAGGGGGTAAACCTTGCAGTCAACTAGATGTGCATCTTGAATAAGCTTGATGACACGCCTCCACTCAGTCTGCGATGAGAGTTTGTCAAAGTCCTCCTTGTCGGAGAGATCACAGAAGTCATGGTAGAGTGAGGTATGCACTTTTGGAAGGTCTGTTCCTGCTTGAGCTTAGCTTTTTCTTGTGCAACAGCAGATAAGTGCATGGAGGTGGCACACAGATGTTTAGTGTCTGCGTGTAGGAAGCCCTTCCAATCGCGCGCAAGTAGCTGTTCCCTCTGCTTGGTCAGCCGGGGACAGTGGGGCGGCAAAGTCGTCCGTATTTGCAAAGGTCGTGGCACATGCTCGGTAGCCAGGAGGGAAGGGGATCATACGATCCTGGCCCTACTTCTGCCGAATAACCTCTGTAGGTGTATTGCAGTTGCGTGCCAGGTGATTCCCACCACACCGGTAGCACGCCATTGCGGCGTTGGCCGTGTCGATGTTCATTGGGACCACACCGGTGTTGGCCACTGGTGCCGGCGCATGTGGTTGTTGGGCAGGGACACCCCAAGGGCGCCAGTTACCGTTGTGTGGCTGCCACTGGTTAGCATTGTGCGATGGCTGCTGTGAAGCATCTGTGGATCGGCCGGTATTGTTGTTCACACTGGTGGACTGGTTGCGCAAGGATGAGCTATCTGTGGTTGACTGCAACAAGGGCTAATCGGGATGATCTTTGCGCCACTGCCTGTTAAATAGCACAGCATCCTTGTACCAGCCTTGGAGCGTGTCCGGGCAATGCTTGCCCTAGCCGTTGACCTTGTCACAGATAGCAGGCTTCAAGCTCCTCTTGTAGAGCTCAATGAGTGCGGTGACGTTGAAGCCCGTGTGGTGGGCCCAGTCCTTGGACAGGCACGTGTGCACCTCCACAGACTGCGCACTTTGTTGCATGGACTGGATCTTAGCGATAGCCGTCTTCTGAATGTTGATATCCTTAAACTGTTGAAAGAAGGCAGCCAGAAATGTGCTGAGGTCAAGTAGCGGGCCCGAGTAAGCTGAAACTAGTTGGCCTTGTTGCTATACCTGGTCTGCCATCTACAGATACTCCGCATAGTCAGCCATGATTTGCTCATGCCACATAGTAGCGGACTGGTCAAGTAGTGTTGAAATCAGGATGATCTTGTTGTGGTCAGTGAGCAGATTATTCGCAGCTTCCTCTTTAGCAACAAGGTAGTTCCACACATTCTGAACAAAGTCGCGTAGCATAGGGCCATAGACACCCATATTGTTAGAGATGCTAGAGAAGGTGCGCGGAGGGTAGATGCGGATGTGTGAGCACTGCGGACCTGGCGCTTGCTGGATGATGTGGTGTTGTGGTGGCGGGGTGTTGAGTTGAGCCTGCTGGTTGACTACCACAGCTTGGAGATCACAGATCTGCTAGTCCTTAGAAATGCTGATTGTATTGGTGCAGGCGGTGTTGGTCAAGTGCAGTGGGCCTGTCCTAATACTGGTGTGCATCCCTTCTTCATTGTCAATGTCAACATGAAAGCCAGCTTCGGGGAGATCCGCAGGGTAGTTGGTGGCGTCAATAAAAGATATGATTTAGAATTTGGGTGGAAGTTGTTTGGAATCTGTAGGGGGTGTAATGTCCTCAGGCGGTGGGGACAAGAATGCGGGCAAAGTGGAGCGTCTGAAGTTGAAGGTAACAGCCTTTGTGATGCAGAGAGTCGAGGGTGGTGGCAATGGTAGGTGATGCGAGCTGATAACAACCAATAACTGTCATGGGTCCCAGATAACGGCCGGTATGTGTCCATTACGAGCAAAGCATAGGTGGTCAAAGGTAGGCTCAAACGCGTAGTGAAGGGTGTCTAAGCGGTCCTCATGATAGATGACTTTGAAGCTGGTGAGCCGGCTGTATTCCACTAAGAGCCTGCCTGAACTACGTTCAATGTAGTTGGTGAGAACGATGGTGTGCTCAAGCTGAGCGTGATGCGAGCTGCGAAGACTGCGAATGCGGCAATAGACCCAACTCCTTACAGCAATTCCTGGGATCGAATAAGGGACTACTAAGTTTGATAGGGTAGCGGACGAAGCGAGACGAGACACAATAATGAAGCTGGCAATGGCAGCAATGAAGGCAGTGACGGTGGCAACGAGCGTGAGAGTGAGTTGAGAACCTTGATCTGATGTCAGCAATGGCTAGGTGGCCGCTTACTAATACAGATAAGGGTGAGTGTGAGATAATCAGGATAAGTGGCTAGGTAGCAGGTGTATTGATTAAATTGAGGTTAAAGGTAAGTTATGAATAGAGGCACAGTCTTACATAAAGAAGGCGAGATCAACAGATGTAAACAAAGAGTGGGAACTGGATGAGTCGTTTATTAGTCACAGGTATTGCTGAGTCACATAAAAGTCCTGGAAAAGAAAAAAAAAAGAAAATGGATAACAGATAATAAATAATCAGATGTCCATAACACTCCCTCTTATGCTCAAGTCCATACTCTGGACACCATTTAGTCTTGTCCCTCACAAGCCTCCTGCAGTTACATTGCAGGTCTGGACCGAGATGTATGATTAATGATCTTATAAATATATGCCAATCATAATACAGTCTGAGACAGCTGCAAGCTTGTATTCGCATGCATTTGCAATCTCCTGTTTGGGTGCTACCTGTAAGTGCTGGCTGGCTGGCTGGAAGGTACTATCTATTATTCTGGGCCCAGAAATAACGGGTCATACCCTTACAACTCCACCTAAGTCACGTCACAGTCTGCGTAAGAGCGGGACACTCTCACCCATGTGCTCTCACGAGCAGGGATACAGATCCAAGAAAGGGAAAGTCATCACTCTTTGCACCTGGCTTCAAGAAGAGGTTGGGTTCTCTCTCTGCTTAGCTGTCTCCTCCCACTTTCTCTGCTTTCTACCATCATGGGGACTCGTATTAGTAGCTTACCTGCTCAGTATGATGTGCAGAACAAGATTCTCCTCCCCTGAGCACTAATCACCCGTTTTGCTGATCCCACCTCTCTGCCGCCGCTTGAAACATGCTGCATTGACTCTCCGTGGTTCTCACGACCAGTAATTGACAACAACTGTGTGACTTTTGAATGTGGGTAGACAAGTGGAAAGTCCCTCTAGACCTGAGATCAATCTGCCAGCAAAAGGTGTGTATAGTACTTGTTGAATTCTGGCTCTACTTTCTGATTTCTTTCGTTTCGTGTTTGTGATTCGCTGTCTCCTGCTACTCGGACGGACTCGTACTGTACACCATCG